AGAAGTTCTCAATTTCATTAAAGGTGCATTTCCCCACCCTTTGTAAGATTATTCTCAGTTTTGCTGGGTAGGTTATTCTTGGTTCTAAGTCTATGTTCTTTGCCTCCTGGAAAATTGTATTCCAAGCTCTCTGTTTCTTTTAAGTAGTGGCTACTAATCCTAACTGTTGTTCTCAGTATTTGATTTCTTTCTTTCTGCAATATTTTTTTTTTGATCTGGAAGCTCTGGATTTGGGTTATGTTCTTTGGAGTTTCATTTGGGGATTTCTTTCAGGAGGTAACCAGTAGATTCTTTCTATTTCTACTTTGCCCTCTGGTTCTAAGAAATCTGGGTAATTTTCTTTTATGATTTCTTGAAATATGATGTCTAGGCCTTTTTTTTTTTTTTGGTTGGGGCTTTCAGGTAGTCCAATGATTCTTTTTTTTCCTTCCACTTAATAATATTTTATTTTTTCCAATCACATGTAAAGATAATTTTTAACATTCACTTTTATAGGATTTTGAGTTTCAAATTTTTTTCTCCCTCCCTCCCTTCCTTCCCAAGATGGCAAGTAATCTGTTATAGGTTATACATGTAAAATTATATTAAACATATTTTCACATTAGTCATGTTGAGAAAGAAGAATCAGAACAAAAGAGGAAAACCAGGAGAAAGGAAAAAAAAAGAGCAAATAGTATGCTTCAATCTGCATTCAGACTCCCAAGTTCTTTCTCTGGATGTGGATAGCATTTTACACTATGAGACCTTTGGAGATGTCTTAGATCCTTGCATTGCTGAGAAAAGCTAGGTCTATCAGTGTTGGTCATTGCACAGTGTTGGTGTTACTGTGTGCAATGTTCTCCTGGTTCTGCTCACTTCACTCAGCATTGGACCATACAAGTCTTTCAAGGTTTTTCCACCTGCTCATCATTTCTTATAGCACAATAGTATTCCATTACAATCATATATCACAACTTGTTCAGCCATTCCCCAGTTGATGGGCATCCCTTCAGTTTCCAATTCTTTGCCACCACAAAAAGAGCTGCTATAGGTATTTTTGTACATGTGAGTCCCTTCCCCTTTTTTATGATCTCTTTGGGATACAGCCCTAGAAGTGCTATTGCTGAGTCAAAGGGTATGCACATTTTTATAGCCCTTTGGGCATAGTTCCAAATTGCTCTCCAGAATGGTTGGATCAGTTCACAACTCCACCAGCAATGCATTAGTGTTCCAATTTTCTGCGTCTTCTCCAACATTTATCATTTTCCTTTTTTGTCACATTAGCCAATCTGATAAGTGTGAGACTGTACCTCAGAGTTGTTTTAATTTGCATTTCAGTAATCAATAGTGATTTAGAGCATTTTTTCACATGACTATAGAGAATTTTGATTTCTTCTTCTGAAAACTGCCTGTTCATATCCTTTTAGTCCAATGATTCTCAAATCATATCTCTTTGATCTGTTTTCCAGGTCAGTTGTTTTTGCTGAGAGATACATTATATTTTCTTCTATTTTTTTCAGCCTTTTCACTTTTTTTTTTTGATGAGGCCATTGGGGTTAAGTAACTTGCCTAGAGTCATACAGCTAATGAGTGTTTTGTGTCTAAGGCCAGATTTGAACTCAGGTCCTCCTGACTTCAGGGCCGGTGCTCTATCCACTGCACCACCTAGCTGCCCCTCAAATTTTTTTAAATATATCTTGTTGTCTCGTAGAACTATTAGTTACTGTTTGGTCCATTATAATTTTCAGAGAGTTTATTGCTTGGGCAGTTTGGTTCTCAGATCGACTTATCTAGATCCTACTTCTCCGCTGGCTTCCAGTGTCATATCCCTGACTGCTTACTGGGCACTTGGAGCTGGACAACCAGTAGCTATCTTAAATGTAACCATATCCAAAACTGAACTCATTATCTTTTCACCAAACCTTCCTCCTCCCCAAATTCCCTATTACTGTCAAAGATAGCACCATCTTCCCAGTCCCTCAGACTCATAACCCCAGTGTCATCCTAGGCTCCTCACTCTCTCTCATACCCCATATCCGATGTGGTGCCAAGTCCTGTTGATTTTGCCCTTGTACCATCTCTGTCATATACTCCCTTATATCCTTTACCGTCTGGTACAGGTCTTCATCACCTCACTCACTTGGTTACTCTTAGATTATTGCAATAGATTGATGATTGGTCTCCCTGCCTCTCCACTCCAGTCCTATTCATCTGTCAAAGTGATTTTCCTAAAAAACAGGTCTGGCCATGTCACCCCTCTATTCAATGAACTCCGGTGGTTCCCCATCATCTCTATGAGCAAATATAAAATTTTCTCTTTGGTATTTAAAACCCTTCATAACTTGACCTTCTTCTACCTTTCCAGTCTTCTTACACCTTACCTTCCTCCGCCCCCCGCCCCCAGCCAACACGGACTCTGTGATCCCATGATGCCAGCTATTTTTTTTTTAGGTGAGGCATTGGGGGTTGAGTGACTTGTCCAGGCTCACACAGCTAGTAAGTGTTATATGTTTCAGGTCAGATTTAAACTTGGGTCCTCCTGACTCCAAGGCCAGAGCTCTTATCCACTGCACCACCTAGCTGCCCTGATGCTGGCTTTCTTGTTGTTCTTTAAACAAGGTACTCCATATCTTGCCTTTGGCATTTTTACTGGTTCTCCATGCCTGGAATTTTCTCTCTCCTCATAGCTGTCTCCTGCCTTCCCTGTCTTCCTTGGAATGTCAGCTAAAATCTCACCTTTCCTGATCCTCCTTAATTTTAGTGCCTTCCCTCTATTGATTATTTCCAGTTTATCCCACACATAACTTATTTGTACATAGTTGTTCGCATGTTGTTTCTTCCATTAGAGTGCAAGCTCCTTGTGGAAAGGGACTGGTTTTCACCTTTCTTTGTATCCCTAGAGTTCAACACAGTGCTTGGCACATAGTAGGTGTTTAATAAAAGCTTACCGACTGACTAGAAAATGTATTGTTTTTTAAAAATTACTTATATGTATTTCAATCAGCAAAAATCCTCCTTTTCCTCCCATCCCAAACTTCTTCCTCATTGCAAAATGAGGGGAAAAACCTTACCAGTTACATACATGTACAGTCAAGCAAAACAAATTTTTCATTGACAATGAGCAGAGGGCAGCTAGGTGGTGCAGTGGATAGAGCACAAAACCTGGATTCAGGAAGACCTGAGTTCAAATCGCAGCCTCAGATATGTAACACTAGCTATGTGACCCTGGGCAAGTCACTTAATTCCATTGCCTAGCCAAAACAAACAAACAAAAAAAGACAATGAGCAAATATATTTGTGTGCATGTGTGTATATGTTATATGTATACATACACATTTATATATGATAAAATAACTTTGACTACATAAAATCGAAAAGCTTCTCAAACAAAATTTATATACTCAGCATAAGAAAAAAAGCATTGAATGAGGAGGAAAAAATCTTTGAATCAAATTTCTCTGATAAAAGTTTGTTGTGTGTGTATCACAATGTTTTATATAGATAGGTAACATAAATTTGTGTGTATATATGTATATACATACATATATGTGTGTATATAAAATCAAAAGCTAGCTATTCCTCAAAAGATAAGTGGTCAAAAGATGTGAACAAACAGTTCTTAAAAGAATTGAAGATCATTGATAAACATATAAAAGGATACTCCAAATCACTAATAATAAGAGAAATTCAAATCAAAACAACCCAATAGTTTCATCTCACACCCAGAAAATTGACGAAGATGGGAATAGTCAACATTGGAGGGGTTGTGGGAAGATCAGCATACACTGGTGCATTATTGGTGGAGCTTTGGAGCAGTACAATCATTTGGAATTATGCAAATAAAGTAAAATAAAATGTCCATAGTCTTTGACCCAGAGATTCCATTACTAAGCTTATATCTCTAAGAGATCATTGATAAAAGGAAAATCTACATTATAATTTTTATAGTGGTGTTTTTGTGATAACAAAGAATTGGAAACAAAGTAGATAAGGGAATGACTAAACAAATTGTGGTATGTTAATAAAATTCATGTGAGAGTGCTATAAGAAATGATGACTTTGATAGATACTGAGAAGCATGAGAATATTTACATGAATACTACAATGTGACTAGAGACAGGAATATCATGGACACAATGACTGCCACCATATAAATGGAAAGAGTAACACAACAACAAAAAAACAAGTCATAAAGTATGACAAAGAACAAGTGTGGCCCCAAAGGAAGAGATATGAAAAGATATTTCCCCCAAGCATTTTGTAGAGAGAAGGGGTGCTCAGAGATGTGGAACAGTGTGTATCAGGGCAGAATTGTTTTAGGTATGGATTAGTTTTACAGAATTTTTTCCTCTTCCCCTTTTTCTTAAAAAAAAAAAAGTTCTTTCTTATAAAGGATTACTCTCTGGGAGGAAGGGGGAAATTTAGGTGATGTGATAACAAAGGTTATCAATAAAAATCCATTCTAAAGAAAAGGAAACTATCTATGGGCCCCTTCCAGAGAGGTGAAAGGGGATAATGGTGAGTAGCCCCCCTAGAAGCCATATCCTGGTGTGACCTCATAGAAGATGATGTTCCAGGGTCTCTGTTTTCCACCTCTGGGTAATGTCTATAACTCTCCTTAATTGATGGTGCCTTAGACGTCCATTGGTCAGTATTCTATTTGCAGTGATTGCCTGTGATGCAACACTTCCTAGTCATGGCTCCGGCTGGGTGTTTCTCTTGACTCAAGTTCTCCTTAGCAGAGACTGGACAGCCACTGGACAGCCAGTTCCAGTGTCATTGAGGGTTTATTGGTTAAGGGTATGTGGGACTAGATGGGTTCTGAGATGCCATCTAATTCTTAGGTTCCAAGCTCTGTCATTATTATTGGAATGGGTAAAGGGTAACTTGAAGTAAATCCCAACTTACTTCTTCCTTGGGACAGAGGGTGTCTGTTCTTTTCACTCTTCCCCCATCCATTAATTCTGATGCTCTACAATATCCCCGTCTTCCCCCTTCCCAAGAACCACAAGACACTAAACTCTGGGGCCACCATGATTTTATTGTTGGGAGTGGAAGGAAGAGGGGAGAGCTCCCAAGGGGAGCAAGAGGCCCCATGGTGCAGAGCTCCAGGAAGTGGTTAGATCCCCAAATACAGGTGGTAGTCTTCTATTGGCTGGAACTCCAGGCAGGACACCTGGTGAGTGGAGTTCATTACCAAACGCCATTGGCTGGAATTCTACACAGTAGTTGGAGCTCTGGGGATAAGAAAGGGAGGGGTGGGGCTCCAGGTGGTGTGTATGTGTTGGGGGCCAGTAAGGTGGAGGCCCTTATTTCTGAGCAGGGATCATATCATCAATGGACTGGCCCTTCTCCAGCTTCTTCTCCATCTCCACCATGAGCTTCACACCATCCACTACCAACTGCACCTGCTCCACCTCGGAGGAGCCCAGTCGGTCTGCGTTTGACACATCAAACACTGAGCCCACGGCTGCTGTGTCCACACCACCTGGAGGGGAGGTAGAAGGGAGAAGAGGGGGGAATGGCTCAAAGCCAGATCCTAATGTGTTTGGAGTAAAGGGGCAGGGACCAGGAACGTGAGAGATAGATGCCCGTGGGGCTGCACATCTAGATAGCAGACATCGCAATATCATTGTCATCTAGCATTTATAGAATGGCTTCTGTGTGGCAGGCACTATGCTAAGCACTTCCCAAATACCATGCCATTTGATCCTTACAACAACCCTAGGAAGGAAGTTCTGTTACCATCCTGTTTTACAGTTAAGGAAACTGAGGCAAACAGAAGTTAGGTGACTACCCAAGATCACATAGCTACTAAATCTGAGGCTGGATTTGAATTCAGGTCTTCCTGACTCCATTCCCAAGCCCTCTATCCACTGTACCACCTAGCTGTCCTAATATATAATATCTATATGCAATATCCATGGAGATACACAGTGCTTATGGAGGAACCCAGCACCTATGGCGATACCTAACACCCATGAAGATAGCCAACATTCATGGAGTTGTATGAGACACCCAATATCCATAGTAAGAGCCAGCACCCATGGGGCTATATAACGCCCGTGAACATATCCAGTACCCATAGAGACATCCAATTTTATCGGGTTGGCCAATACCCACAGGCACCCGGCATCAACCCATGGAAATACTGAATGCTAATAGAGGTCCCCAGTCCAGTCCTCATGGAGACACTCAATAATTGGCCAGGACAATATCTAGTACCAGGGATGAGCCATGCCACATTCACTCAGGATAGCTGGATAAGTGAGTACCCACCTGTGCCCCGCTTCTGCAGACGCAGGCGGGTGAGGATCTCTTCAAACTTGGGGTGCTTGCTGAGGTGTGCCAGTTTAACGTGCACACCCCCACGCAGGCCAGTACCGAGGTTGGAAGGGCAGGTGAGGACATAACCAAGATGTTCATTCCACATGAAAGGGTGGCCAGCCTTCTTGAAGATCTCTTCAATCTGGGGAGGGGAGGGAGGAGAAAGGATGAGTCACTGTGATAGGGGAAATAGTCATCATAAGGGGAGAGGGACAGTACCTATGATTTCCTCAGTATGAGGACACACACAAAGTCTATGTCTGAGCCTAGATTTGAATCCAGTTCTTCCTGGTTCCAAGGCCAGTTTTCTACTCACATCCTGGCTGCTTTTTCCTGTTAATCACAAAAACTCCTATAGATTTAGTACATCTCAAAGCATCCCTGTGTGATTAGTGGTGTGAGGATGATAATTCTTGTTTCATAAACAGATAAATGGAAAACATGGAAGGCAGTGGGAGCTAGGAGACAGAGCCAGCCTTGGAGTCAGAAAGACCCGGGTTCAAGACTTGTCTCTGCCACCCACTGTGACTCTGGGCAAGTCAGGGAGGTCTCACAGACGAAATTTCAGATAAGCTGCCCATCTGTCCTGAGAGAGGGAGTGTCCCCACTAAGGATTTCCACATAGCAGAGAGACCCCAAGCCTGGACAAAAACACCTGCCAAAAATGGAAGCTCAGAGAGATGAAGGGTCCTCCAGCTAGGAAATAAATACCCAAGCTAGGATTGGAATCCAGGGTTTCTGACTCCAAGCCCATGACTACTCTATCATTCCCACTTCCAGGGGGTTCTGATTAAAGAAATCAGGTCAGAATTCAAGGGCTGGTGCCCCAAGAGATCAAGTCAGAGAGAACCCTCTCTGGGCCTCAGTTTTCTCATCTGTAAAGTGAGAGAGTTAGACAAGAAGGTCCCTGACGTTCCTCCCTGCTCTAAATCTGTGGCCCTCTGCCCACTTCCATGCTGACGTGTGTCCTTTGGGGCCTACAAAGGAGGTACCAGGAATATTCAGTTAGGCTAGGAGGATGCCACATGGCTCCTGCTTCTCCCCTGAGGCCTCACACCCAGCGAGGTCCTCCTGGCTCTGCCAAGTGGCACCCTCACTGTGTCCTTTGGTCTGGGTGTCCCTTGTAACCTTTCCCCCCATGCCCCTGCAAGCTGGTGCCCTGAGTGCGTCCCAATGGGGCTCGAACTGGGCTCTAATACACCCAACCCCATGCTTGATTGGAGGGCACTCTTGAGTATCTTCCCCCCACCCATTGTCTTCTATTGATTTTCTACCTATTTATATCAACAAGGCAATCAGCATATATTAAGCACTCACTGTGTGCCAGGCACTGTGTTAAATGCTGCAGATTCAAAGAAAGGCAAAATTAGCCTCTGTTCTCAGTAAACAGGGGGGGTCTAATGGGGATGTGGCTGTATATGTACATATGTGTATACATGCTCATGGAGACATCATATACAGAAATCTGTACCATGCAGACATAACATACAATATATATACACACACATACACACATGTATGTACCACACAGACAGTGTATGGTGTATATGTGTACACACATGTGTATCATGCAGACACAGTATATCATATATGTGCATATCCATACACATATATGTACCATGTGGACATAGTATAGAATATATGAGTGTATGTATATACGCACACATAGTATTGTGCAGACATAGTATATAGTATATATATTATGTGTATATACATGCAAGTAGTATGTATGTATGCTTAGTGCATATACATTTTATGGATACATAACACATGCATATATACATTATGTGTATTTAATATGTGTATAGACTATTCATATGTGTACATATACACACTTGTGTACACACATATTACATAGGTGCATGTTGTCTCCCCAAATAAAATGTTAGCTCCTTGAGGTCCTGGACTGTCTCTTGTCTTTGTGTCTCCAGGCTTGGCACATAAATGTTTGTTGATTAATTGCCCAAGGCACCAAAATCACCAGGGCAGTTGTACCTGAGACTTGACATGCATTTCTATGGTGCTTTAACATTTGCCAAGCACTTTCCCCAAAATATCCCTGTGAGGTAGGTAGTGAAAGTATTATTATCTGTATTTAGCAAAGGGGGGAAACTGAGGGAACTGGCCCATGGTCACACAGGAGGTGAGTTGAGATCATAGGATTTTAGATTTGGAAGGGCCCCTAGGGACCATCTAGTCCAGGGGTGGGGAAGCTGAGGCCTCAAGGCCACATGTGGCCCTCTAGGTCCTGAAGTGCAGCCATTTGACTGAATCCAAGCTTCACAGAACAAATCCCCTTCATAAAAGGATTTGTTCTGTAAAACTTGGACTCAGTCAAAAAGCAGAACCCAAGGACCTAGACCACATGTGGCCTGGAGACGGTGGGTTCCTTATCCCTGATCTAGTCCATGAGTTCTTAACCTTTATTGTGGCATGGAACTCTTCCCAAAATAATATTTTTAAAACACAAAATAAAATACATAGGTTTACAAAGGAAAGCCAAGGTTAGTGGTGCTATTTTTTCCCACCCAAATTTATAGACCCCCCTGAAACGTATCCACAAATCCCTTGGGGTTAATCTAGAACCCCCGATCTAAATCCAAACCCCTCATTTTACAAATGCGATAATGGACCTAAAATACAATCTTAGTATCATAGATTCAGCACTTGAAGGACCTTAGACACCAGCTAGCCCAAACCTTTCCTGCTACAGATGGAGAAACTGAGGCTCAGAGGGCCAGGTTCCTAAGGTAACAGGGACTAGAGCTGTATTGGAACCAGGATCTGAACCCAGGTTTCCTGACTCCTATTCCCTGGGCTGTCTTCATTCCATAGGAGGGTGGTGTCAGGGACCAGGGGTCAGGGGTCCCAGCCCACCTTCTGCAGCCCCACGCAGAAGCGACGGAAGACCTCCTTCATGTTGCCCCCCTTCTCCATAGAGATGACCCTCAGATGGTCTTCCTCATTCACCCACACCAAGAAGCTCTTGCTGTCATTGTGCCTGAGGGAAGAAAGAAAGGGGATCAGAGGATCATTGGGCTCCCCAAGTCCCCTACCCTCTCCTCCTCCCTGAATGGGCTACCCAGTGTGGGGAGGGACTGTAGACTTAGAGGAGGAGTCAGCAGGGAGAGGGTGTAGAGGAAAGGGTCTGAGTAGTGCCCCTGTAAACAGCAGGGGCAGAATTGTTGCTGGGAAGAATCATAGCATGCTCAGGTCATAGAATGGTGAGCTCCTCGAATCTCAGAGTTTGCCCGTCACCCTTCCCTCACCTGCTCTGAGTCCTGAAGAGCCCTAAACTTCTAGATTCTCAGAAGACTGGAATCTCAGCATCCTAGAAGGAGGCGGTTCTCATGCCCTAGATTCTTGGAATCACGAGGATCCCAGATCTGGTCACCCCCAAATTTTGAAATGTTATGATTTTGGCCTTAGAGTTGGAAGGAGCCATGGAAGCTGTATTGCCCAAGTGCCTCATTTTGTGAATGAGGAAATCTGGACCCAGAGACGGAAGGGATTTGTTCAAGGAAACATAGTTCACACAGGGTGGAGGCAGAATTTGAAGTCAAGGACTCTGATCCCAAATAGAAAACACTTCCAAGTGCCACCATGCTGGAATTTGAATTTTCTGAAACTTGGAATCTTAGGATTTCCGAATTCTAGAGTCCCAAGAATTCTAGGCTCTTAGCCCTTACAGAGACTGTCCAACTCCACTCCCTCATCGTATTTCCCTCAGTGTGGGGTGGATACTCTGAACCTGCATGTTTTTAAGGAGACATGACTCCTAATTGGCTGAGAGAAAGCTGAGCCAGGACACTTTGTAATTGAAGGACGGGCATACTTGTTGGAGCCATCCTTGGAGAGAGAACCTTAAGGGAAACCCCTCAAGAGAGAGGAAAGGAGTGGGCTTTAGATTGGCTGGAGCCCTGGGGCCACAGCCATGTAGAGGAGCCAAGCCCCATTGTGTCTCTTGTCTTTCAGCACTTGCAGCCTCAGAGACCTCTAAGAGTGGTAAGATTGTTCTCTTGTTTTGAGCTGAGGTCCGATCTTGCACCCAGCTGAAGAGCTCATTTATTCTTGCATTTTCTTTGGTGTATTCTAATCTCTACCTCCTATTTCTGTTTGTGGTTCTTTTTGATAGAGGATCAAAGTAGCTATTCAAGATGACCTTTTGTGGGGCTGTCAGTATGTTCCTCACTGAGAGGGATTAGGGAAATAGCTTTCATCCTGAACCCAGACCCAGACCTGAGACTAGAGCTAGATGAGAGATGGTGGATAGAGATGTCAGTCTAGAGTAAGACTACAGGAGAGATCTCCTGGCCTCGATGGTCCTGTCCTCCCTGGCCTCAACAGCTAAGCCTACTGCCATCAGCACAGTGCCAGCAAAACTAGCCAGATCCCAGATCCCACCTGTCTATGCCATCCATGAGCTGTATCTCTGCAGTTAGAGAATCCTCCATATCTATCTACATCTTGTGTATAGATGAGGAAATGGAGGCTGAGAGAGGGGGGGAAAGGACCTTCTCCAGGTCACATAGGAGGGTGGATGCAGAGCCCAGGGCACATTCTGGTAGTGGGGAGCTCAGTGGAAGGGGGTTCCTCACCAGATGCCACGGGCATCGGGCCAGTCCCGGGCCATGCCAGAGGCCAGCAGCAAGGGGGAGACAGGCTTGTCAAAGAGGAAGTGGTCATCAATCAGCTGCTGCTGTTCCTGCTCCGTCATGCTCTTCAGAGGGTAATATTTGCCCTTGAACTCTCCAGTCAGACTGTTGAGGGCTGGGGATTGGGGGGAGGTGGGAGGGGAGAGAGAAGACAGCATAGAGTGAGCACCCAGACCTCATGGAGGGTGGCTGTGGGTGGAACCCAAACAGGAGATCCATGTGCATTGATGGGGTCTCTAAAGGGGAGATTTTAGAGGGGTAAGGAGAAAAGTTTCTTCATGAAGGACAAACAGACAAGATCTTTCCTGGGCTGGGAATGCGGACAGGGAAGTTTGTGGAGGCAAAGGGGGCCCCTCACCTTTGACACTCAGGGCTTCCACAGCACGCCGCTCGCCCCGGGAGCAGTGAGGAGGCAAGGTATAACCTTTGATGCTTCGGCCCGTCCGGACACGGCTACTCAGCACGTAGTTGGGGTCCAGGTCGTCGCCACCCTAGGGGACAAGCATGGCAAGGGAGGCTGGCTTAGGGAAGGATCGATGCCTCCCCCCAGAAGGCACCCCTGGACACAGGGTATTCTAGCTCAACCCTGCCCTGCGAGCCTCTTCTAACTCTCACTTCCCCTTCCCCATCCTCTCATAGCCCTCATCTCTCCCCTTCAATGCCCACCCCCCTCCATCAATCCCCATCTCACTCAGTCTCCCCTAATTTCTCTCCATTAGTGCTGGTCTTCTCCACTCTCCCCACTGCCTCCATCCCTTGACCTCTTACCCTTTCCTTCTCTTCCCCCCCACCAAAAGTTTCCCCAGTGGTTCCACCTTGAGGTTCTCATGGTTGAGGTCGGTCTTATGCTTGTCTGTGGGCTTGTAGCCCCCATGCCGATCCTGAATGATGGGGTCAAACAGGTCCTTGAAGACGTCATAGGACTCCTCATCACCAGCCACACAGCCCACAGTCATGATGAAGGGATGGCCTGTGTGTAGGGATGAGAAGGGAGTCAGAGGTCATAGAGTCACAGAAGCTTAACACAAACACAGAATGTCAGAGCTGGGAGGGCCCTAAGAACATGGGATGTTCAAGATAGAAGAAAGCTTAGAACATGGAATGTCAGATTGGGGAGGGATCTGAAGGCATAGAATGTTAGCAGTGGAGAGGACCTTAGAAGAGAGAGTGTTAGAGCTGAGAGGGCTCTTAGAACATTGGATGTCATAGCCAGGAGTGGCCTTAGAACATGGGATGTCAGAGCTGTCAGGGACCTTAAGACATAGAATGTTAGCAGCAGAAAGGACTGGAGAACAGAGAATGTCAGGGCTCGGAAAAACTGTAGGCCAATGGAATGTCAAAGCTGAAAGAGGACTTGGAAACTGCCTGGTTCCGTATCTCACAAATAGGACGTTGTGGGGCTTGAAATCCATTGATAGAAATCAAGGTAAGATGACAAAAGTAAACAGAGACAAATGTAAAGTCTGACACCTAGACTCAAAAAATCAATTTCACAAATGCGAGATGAGACACACATGGTTATGTGAGTTTGGAAACGAGCTGGGAGTTTTAGGAGGAGGCAGGCTCTTCACTATGTATGACTATGTGCGATACAGAGGCTCTTGGGCTGTGATAAGAGACATGTGCCTTCCAAGGATAAGGGTGCTAGATCATTGATAATCCAAAGACTGTCTGGTGGAATCCTAATCCTAACCCTGACCAGGAAGGTGCAGGACCTAGAGCCCTATCGGATGGATCCATTGAAGGAATCGGGAATATTTAACCTGGGGAAGACTTGGGGGTGACGTGATGGCTGTCGGTAAAGACATGAAAGTTTGGGATGTGAGAGAGGGCTTTTATCGTTCCTATTTGGCCCCGGAGGGTGAAACTAAGCATCAGGAAGAAGTTTCTAAGCGAAAAATTTAGCCTTGAGGAAAGACTACACTTCCTGTTGCTGAGAGGTAGCAATTCCCCTTCATCCTAGGTCTTCAAGCATCAATCAAAGTTGGATGGACCCTTGTGGGCAATGGGATCACAGAATCCTATATTGAGCCTGGAAGGAATGGAGATCAGAAGAAATCCAATAAAGGCAATTAATGGATAGATCACTGGGCCTGAAGTCAGGAAGACCTGAATTCAAATCCAGCCTCAGATACTTATTAGCTGTGTGGCCCTGGGCAAGTCACTTAACCTGCTGGCCTCAGTTTCCTCATCTGTAAAATGGGTATGACAATAGAGCCCATCTCCCGAGGTGGTTGTGAGGATAAAATGAAATAGTATTTGTAAAGCACTTTGAAAACCTTAAAGTATTATAATTTTTATTATCACAACTTAATTTTAAAGATGAGGACACTGAGACTAAGACGGGGGCCATGCCCATGATCATGCAGGTATTAAATAGCAGAGACAGTATCTGAACCCAGGTCCGGTGATCCCCAATCCAACACCATACCACCACGATGCCTCATAGGATGAGAGCAGGGGTCCTTGTTCGTACGTGGATTGGAACACATGTCTGTGAAGGTCCTTCCAATCTGGAAATCCTGGGATTCTGTGAAATGCTGACCTGAGAGCCCAAGGGGATGGGGGTGGGGGTGGGGTGATGGCAAGGAGAGTGGGCTGGGAGATTCACGCCATGGCAGGAAAGAGCTCGCAAAGACATTAGAAACAAAATAGAAGTATCATTTTTACATCAAAGAAACCATACCACACAATTTGTTTGTCTGATACCTGATTCCTAATGCTATATTTAATATTTGGGAAAGGCAGCTAGGTGGTGCAGTGGGTAGAATACCAGCCCTGGAGACAGGAAGACACGAGTTCAAATCTGGCCTCAGATGCTTACTAGCTGGGTGACCCTGGGCAAGTCACAACCCCAATTGCCTCCCCCCAAAAAAAAACATTTTAGGGGGAAGTAGAGGGAGCATTGGGATTTCTCCACAGCACTCCAGACTTCCACAGAACAGAGTTTAGGAAAGACAAAGTGTGAGCCACCCAGCTGGGCAGATAGAGGGCACGGAGGCAAGGGGGCAGAGCTGGATGTAATCTTAGCCAGTCTCAAGCACAAGTATGGTAGAGGCTTTTGAGAGCATTTATTCAAATTCAGAGTTGTTGCTGGGGAGGAAACCAGGGGCCTGAGAGGGAATGGGGCTTGTCTAAAGTCAGAGAGCCATTCATTGGTATAGATGAGGTCCCCTATCTCCCAGTTTAGGGCTACCTGTGGGTCTATTTGAAGAGTTTGTCTGGAGGGGGTGACGGTGAGCAGGGCTCCTGCAGGGGTTTCTAAGTGATTCTGAGATTACCTATGAGTTTTATAAACTCATATCTATGAGTCTTCCATTGTCCCCACCTATGGAAATCCCAGACATATCTATGGGATATTTATGGGATCCTGCATCCACGGCCATCTCTAGTTGTCCTGATCTGTATCTGGCCACAGGACCCAGATGGCTCTGGAGGAGAGAGAGAGAGTGAGGCTGGTGACTTTGCACAGCCCTCCATCACTTGAATCATTCACTCGCAAGTCATGGCATCACCTCCCTGATGTCATGGTCCTCTCCAAGAACAAAGGACAAACAACAATATATGGGATACTTGGGAGTGTCCATTGGAGGACCTGAGAGAGTCTATGGGGATTATGGAATGATAACATTAGATCTGGAAGGAACCTTACAGGTCATCTGGTTCCACCCCCTCACTTTACAGATGGGGAAACTGAGGTCCGGGGAAGTGAGGTGGTTTGTCCAAGGTCATACAGGGAGTGAACCTTGGAAGTGACTCCAGAGACTTCCATTTCTACTGTTCCATACTTGGAGGGAGGGGACTGCAAGGCTGTCCGAGAGGTCCTTGGTGTGTCTATGGGGATTCTGAGGTTGTTCATTATAGTCCCATGATGTCCCTAGGAGTTCACAGGAGGATCCCAGAGTGGGCCCCTGAATGTATTTATGGGGGTCTGGCTATGTCTATGACAGTCTCAGGGAGACCTGCCAGGTGCATGGGATCTATGCTTACCTATGAAGGTCCTGGGATATCTGTGAGGGTTACAGGAGATTCTGAGTTTCCCTGGGATGTCTGTGAGGGTCCCAGATATGTCTCTGTGAGTCTTGAGAATGTTTAAGGCCATCTATGGGTATCCTGATTGTGTCTACAGAAGTATGGGGTATCCCTGAAAGTCTTGGAGTTATCCTTGATAGATCCAAGAGTACTGGGGAAATGTGGATGGGGGAGGGGCTAGGATGTCCAGAAAAGGTCTTAAATGTATCCAGGAGGTCCCAGGTATATCTTTGGGGGCTCTTGGGGGCACTCTGAGTTTCTCAGGGGTGTCCATGGGGGGATCCCAGAGGCATCAGTGGAGGTCTTAGGGGATCTATTCTGGATCCTAGGGGGACTCTAGAGATATCTATGGGGTCCTGGGTTTGTCTACAGGAGTCCTGAGGGTGTCTACAAGGAGCTCCAGGGTGTTCAAGGAAGGTGCTAGATTTCTTTCTTTTTTCTTTTTTTGTTTGTTTTTTTAGGCAATTGGGGTTAGGTGACTTGCCCAGGGTCACACAGCTAGTGAGGGTCAAGTGTTTGGTCTGAGGCTGGATTTGAACTCAGGTCCTCCTGACTTCAAGGCCAGTGCTCTATCCACTGCGCCACCTAGCTGCCAAAGGTGCTATATTTCTAAGAGAGTTTCTGAGTGTCCTGGGAGTATCTATGAGATTTCAGGGGTGTTCATGAAGGTCTTGCGGTGTCCATTTGGGTCCTACGTTTTCTATAGGGATATTGTGGAGTCTGTGATAGGTTTAGGGTATATCTGTAGGGGTCTTGAAGATGTCTGTGGGATTGTGGAATCAGAACCACAAGGGACTAGGGAGGCTGTAGGGTCTAACCTCCCATTTTATAGCTAAGGAACCTGGGGCCAAAGAGATTAAGTGATGTGTACACGGTCACACAGTAACTATCTGACCCAGATAAGAACCCAGGTCTTCCTGACTCCAAATTCTATGCCTGATCTCACAAAAGTGGGATGAATTATAGCTTAGACCTAGAGCAAGAAGGGCCCTCAGTGGCCAACTAATGCAACCCCTTCATTTTGCAAGTGAAGCAATAGACCCCAGGCTACACACATAGTAAGATACAAACCTGGGATTTGAACTCACATCTTCTGACTCCAAATCAGCCTACTTTCCATTGCTCTACTCTGCCTTCCCAGGGGTGTCTGTTGGAGTCATAATGTTTAAAGTAGGCTCTAAGTGTGTCTGTAGGGTCTTGGGGACATCTGTGGTGGTTCTGGGAGTGTTTGGAACATTTCTGGGTACCCTAGGGTTGTCCACTGGGGTCCTGGGGTATCTACAGGGGCCTCTGGGTGCTTATAGTGGATTTTGGGTGTGTCTCTGGGATCCTGGGGATATCTGTGGTAGATCAGGAATTGTATAGGATGCTGTGAAATGTCTGTAGTCATTTCTGAGTGTCCCAGGGTTGTCCATTGAGACCCCAGAGGTGTCTATAAGACTCTCAGAGTATCTGAGTAAGAACCTGAGTTAGGTCCCAGGTGTGTCTGTGGGGTCCTGGGGATAGGTGGTGGTTTGGGGAGGTTATGGAAATGCTAAGGCATATTTGTGGCTATTTCTAGGGTCCTGGACGGTGTCCGCTGGAGTCCTGGGGTGTCTATAAGGTCTCAGGGTATCTGAATTAGATTCTTGGCATGTCTGGGGTGGTTCTACAAGTGTGTGGAGATGCTGGGGGTGTTTATGGCCATCTCTGGGTCCTGGGGGTGTCTAGGGTGGCTCTGGGAGTGTCTCTGGGGGCCGGAGGGTGAGCCTCACTCCCCCTCGCCTTTGCTCAGCATCGGGTCTCTCACCTGGGTTGTCCACCCCAGTCTGGATGACATCATCCAGGGTGAAGCCAGAGGGTGTCTCCTTGTCCCGGAGCTTCTTGTACAGGTCTGGAGTGAGTGCTTTGGCCATGTGGTTGTTGTGTTTGCTCAGGTCGGGGTACTCCTCCTCCGGCTTGTAGTTGAGCTTGTATTTGTTGTGGGTGTTTCCGAAAGGCATGGTGGCGGCTGGGCAGGGCCTGTGGGGCAGGAGCAGGGCTCACAAGCCGGGGCTTGGCTGCAGGAGGACTCCACATCTCACAGAAGGGTTGTTTAAGGAAGGCTTCTTAAGCTCTGCTTGCTGCAGCAAGATCAAGCTAACCTGGACCCCAAAGAATCCTGGACTTGGAAGAACCTTAGAACCTTGGACCCCAAAGAATCTTAGACTTGGAAGAATTTTAGAACCTCGGACCCCAAAGAATCTTAGATGAGCTAGAACTTTAGAACCTCAGACACAATAGAATCTTAGACTCAGAAGAACCTTAGAACACTTTCAACAGAATATTAGTCTCTGTAGATCCTTATACTCTTTGACCCAATAGAATCTTAACCTCTTAGAACTTTTGACTCTTGGAATTGTAGGGTCTGGATGGACTTCAGATTTATGGATCTAATTCAACTTTCTCAATGTATAGGTGGGGAAACTGAGGCCAGAGAAAGGAGGAATGCCACAGCATTCTGTCAAACTAGAACCTGAGGCTCCTGATTCTCAGTTGAGGGGACGAAGGAGGTAGGAACAGAATCAGAGGGATGGGAAGGAGAATTTTAGGAGTTGAGTGGAATTGTGGACAGTCTTAGGAAAGGGGAAAAACAATAGGGTTGGGGAAAGCTTGGGAACCTGATCTCAGCTTCCCCATCTGTAAAATGGCAGGGTTGGACTAAATTATCTCTAAGGTCCCTTCCAGCTCTAAATGCTACTATGCTCCTAAATTAGGGAAGACTAGGGGGAGGGGGGAAGACAAGGGGCAGAGAAGGTGGGGAATTGCAGGATCTGGGGGGGGCAGTTGGAGCTGCCATCCCTGGGGGGATATTTTTAGCCTATGGACTCCACCCCCCACAGCTGTGGCCATTCTCCCCCCCCCCCCCACATTCCGGGGGCTCTGTTTGCACCGAATCAGCGGCTCTGGAGCCAGGGGGAGGTGGGAGAGGACAACAGCAGAGGACACGAGCCCTGCCCTAACGGCTAGACAAAACCAGTTGGCCTCAGGGCCCCCTGAGACCTAACACAAGAGGAGCATCTGTCCCCCCCCTCGCTCACATGTGGGGCGCACATGGCCACACGCACCCAGGGACACACATAGACACACACACACAAGCGGGCACACCATCATAAGGAGGATCCAGCCCCCACACGGACAAAAGCTGTCACATGAACACACACAGTCATCGGGGCATCCCCCCCACCCAGAGACGTCCAGAAAGTCATCATGCACTAACATGGGGGGCCAACAAACATAGACCCAATCAGAGACTCAGGCACAGGCAAGGTCACAGAATCAAAGGGTCAGAAAGGACCATTCAGGTTGCTTGTCAAGATGAGGAATCATAGTCAGATATATGGAGAAGCAATCTATCTTAAGCGGACACAGGGAAACCTACAGTTGTGCACACACACACATACACGCACAGTCACGTAGACACACAATGATGCACAGGTATGGGGAGACAGTCACACACAAATCCAGAGAGAGCCAGTACCACACATATGTGGTCACACAGTCACATACAGAACACAGAGCCAGCCAGCCAGACCGAACACACCTACAAGGAGATCCAGGGTCATTCCCACCTGGACATAGTTGTAAGGTTGTACTTGGATAAAAGCCCACCCTATGTAGGAGAAGGTGGGGAGACAAGTTCAGCCCCTTCCCTCTTTAATTGCTCCCAGCCTCCCCCTTCCCTTTCCAACCACCCTTCCTCCATACCTGAGCTGGGCTAGACTGGATTCTCTCTGTGTCCCCTACAACTGACGGGTGACCCAGGGATCTGGCAGGGTAACCCCTGGCTTATATAGGGGAGCCAGAGGGGCTGTCATTTGCGGGGGCCAGGCCAGCCCCCTGGAGGGTGGGAGGGAAGCTGAGCTGCCCACTGGGCATTGTGCCCGGGCAAGGGAGCATGGTTGGCCCTAGGCTCCCCCCCAGCTGGGCCCCGGGCTCCAGGACAGCCTTGTGGCCTGAGCCCCGCAAGATACCTTGTATGGGCGGCTGAGGGGAGCCAAGCTTGCCCCCCCCAACAACAAGTGCTGAGTTGCACTGGAAGGAACAGCTGGCTCCAGGCTGGGGACATTGGGGAAGAAGCGGAGGACACGTCCCTGGTTCCTGGCCCGGGCCCTTCCCCCTCTTTGGGCCAGGGTCCAACTCCTTAGTCCTAGACAGCCCAGGGCCCCACATCCCTCAATCTTTTATCCCTCCTCTCTCAACTTAGCCTTTCACATCCTCCTCAGAACCTTGGCCTCCCACACCCTCAGACCCTAAGCCTTACCTTTAACGCTTCCCCGGTCCTTAGCTTTAGAATTACACCTGTAAATTTTCATCTCCACTCTTGACCAATGAGCCTTTTCTTTGGCCTCTGAAGCTACACCTTAGGCTCTGACCTCATCCTCGCCCTCTGCCCCCCACCCTCAGCCTCTGCCCCCCTGCTCCATTTCTTGGCCCCTAACTCTCTCTCACTTCCCCCCAACCTAAAGATTGTGTATTAGGGGCCCAGATGGGAAAATGAGGTAAGATGGTAGGAGCAAGGGATTTGAACTCAGAACTAGGAGGGGGTGGTGCCACCCTCCTGGACCCCCTCCCTGTCTCTCTCAGTAGTAAGAGATTCCTCTTCACACCCAAGCTCTCTTAATAATGAGATATATAGTTCTTCCTCAAAGATTCCTGCCCTGAATGAGGACAGGCCATTCTGGGGTGGTGGACGGAGGCCCAGGCATCACAGCCCCCAGCATGGGAAGAGTATTTTTAGAGGTGCCCGGAGGCTTTCTCAGCTCTCCTCCTATGGGGACAGGGAGGCCAGGACCTCAGCGGGGGTGGGGGGTAGAGGGGAGGCTGGGTGGGTTCCAGAGGCAGGTGTGGCTGGGGGAAGGAGGGGGAGCCCAGGCACGTGGGGGTCTAATTATAACCAGCTGCTGCCGGGGCCTTACAAGGACAGCAGCCTGTTCCTTTGGTCTGAATGCCCCCGCCCAATAGCTGACTCTTCTCTGGGGGGCTCTGCTTGTAGGGAGCCCCCAGGCTTGCAGGCAGACACAGGGATGAGAGTTAGGACTCTTCTTCTCCAGAATTTCCATAGCACCTCTCCTGCCCACACGCACTTATCCAGCCATCCCCAAGCCTCATCTGAGGCATAGCACCCCACCTCCCTTCCAATCCTGGGCCACCTGCTCTATACCCCCCAGTCCCTCCTCCCAAGGATCCCTGATTGCATCACCCCCCTCCCTAGTCTTATAATGCCTCCAGTGGAAAATCCCAGGGATACGCTATTGAGAGTGGGGTGCCTGGTTGTAGATGTGAGTGTGGGGGTGGTATTCAGTCCCAATCCCTATTTTGCTCGAGACCTCTCCCACCCTCCAGATTAATGTTGTCTCTTCCAGGAGACAGGTGGGTTTGCTCCTCCCCTGCCCTCTGAATAGACCCTGGTTGTCCCCCTCTGTGCTCCACCCCCCACCCCACCCCACCATGTTCTGGCCCGCCCTCCCTTCCCTGTCCCCCAGGACTGGCCTTATAGGGTCTGCTTCTGCCCCGAGGAGGAGGCACCTCATATATCACAGGGAAAGAAAGAAAGCTGGGGGGGGGAAGGGCAAAGGAGAGATGTAAAAGCCCTTCTCTCATCACCCCCACCCCCTTTCAAGGACCATTCCCTGAGACTCAGCAGGCAGCTGCCCTCAAAAGCAGTTGCTCACTCCGGGTGTGGTTCCACAGCGCCATCTGCAGGCAGGAGCAGGGACCTGCTGGGGCTAGAGACAACGGCATGTGATTCGGAGATTCATTCAACTAGGAGAAAATCCTAGAATGTCAGAGCTGGGGTGGGGGATGGGGGCCATTGTCAGAAGAGAGAATGTTGAAAATGAAAATCATCTTAGCATATAAATTAGGGGAAGGAGACTTCCCCATGCTCCCATTAATTGACTCATCACCCCTATTCCTGATACTCCATGGGCAGTTCTGCTTCTGGCTCTTCTCTAAGGTTCCCTCACCCAACACCCCACCCCCAAGGAAAGAAAGTACAACAGGTATTCGATGCACAAATATGAGTTGGGTACGGAGCAGGCAATCTGCCCCTACCCATGAAAACCATGATAAGCACAAAAGAATTGTAGTGTGCATTACTGAATGACCAGAACAGAATTCAGTGGCTGACTTATCACTATCGATACAGTAAGTGCAATAAATTAATCAACAAGCATTTATTAAACACTTACCCTGTGTCAGGCCCTGTGTTAAACACAAGATACAGAGAGGGGCAGAAAACAGTTCTTGCTTTCAAGGAGCCTCCATTCTAACAGGGAGACAACATGTAAAAATGATGAACATATACAGAGAAAGCAGTGGAATATTACTGCGCTGTAAGAAATGTCAAATATGATGACTATGGAGAAGCCCGAAAAGATTTACATCAACTGATGCAAGATGAAGTTAGAATAGCCAGAAAACCCATATGCAGAATGACTACAACAATGTAAAATGGAATCAACAACCAGAAAACAATTAAAAATGAATGCTGCAAAATTACAAAAAACAAATTTGGCCCCAAAGTAGAGATGTGAGAACATACCTTCCTCCATTCCTTTGCAAAGGTAGGAGGTCCACAGGTGTGGAATATTGCATCCATTTTCAGATTTTTTCCTCCATGTGTTGATTGCTTTTTATGATTTTTTTCTCTTCTAGATCTTTTTCTTTTAAAAAAATTTCTTTGTTATATGGGATGGCTCTCTGTGAGGGGAAGAGGAAGGGTACAGGGGAAATTTTAGGTAATGTAAAAACAAAAGATATCAATAAAATTATTTTTTTAAAAAGGGACATATACAGAGTAGTTGGAAAACAAGCCCAGGGTCTATCAGTACCAGATCGCAAATGATACTGCAAAATAATAGTCATTAAGCCATTTGATATGGGTTAAAAAAAGAAAGAGGCTGATCAGTAGAACAGATTAGATAACCAACGTTCAAAAGCAAACACAATAGCCTATGTTAGATAAACCAGAAGACCCCAGTGGCTGGAGGAAGGACTCACCATTTACAAAAACTGCTCGGAAAACTGGACAACCATCTGACAGAAATTAGATTTAGACCAACACCTTCCAGCATACACCAAGAGAAGCTCCTAGATGGGTCACATCATAAACAAGTGAGAAGAAATTACCTTTCTGATCTTAATTAAGAAGTTACTGTTTCACATCTATGAAGAGGGGAAGAGTTCAAGACTAGGCAAGGGATAGAGTTTATATAAAATTTAAACGTTTTTGCACAAACAAATTGAATGGGGCAAAAATTAGAAGGGAAACAGGTAACTGGGGTGGGGGGACCTTTGCAACAAGGTTCTCTAATAAAGGTTTCATTTTCTATGGGAAGACTTTTATGAACTGATGCAAGAAAGAGATGAGAAGAACTAGGAAATGATTGAAACTTATGACTAAGTCATTCCCAATAAATAAATGCCCAAAAGGGATGAATAGGCAGTTTTCAAAGGAAGAAGTCTAAGCTATCAACAATCATGAAAAAGTGTTCTAATTTTTTAAAAAAGGTATTAAGTACCTACTATGTGCTAGGCACTGTGCTAAGTCTGAGAATACAAAGAAAGGCAAAAGAAAATCCTCACTTTCAAGGAGCTCCCAGACTAACAGGGGAGACAAAATGCAAACAATTATGTTACAAACAAGATACATAGAGGGTAAATTGGATATCTTCTCAGAGGGAAGGCACTAAGGTTAGGGAGGACTAGGAAGGGCTTTTTGTACAAGGTAGTACTTGAAGGAAGCCAGGAGTTGGAAATAGAGAGACAGATCTAGCTCCAGGCATGGAGGACAGCCAGTGCTAATGCCCACAGTCAGGAGATGGAGTGCCATTTTTGAGGAATGGCAAAAAGGTCAATGTCACTGAACTGTAAAGTAGGTGACAGTAGGCTGAGTAAAGTCTAAGAAGACTGGGAAGTATGGAGTGGGCCAGATTTGTGAAGGGCTCTGAGTGCCAAATGGAGGATTTTATTCTGCATGCTGCAGTTAGTAGTAGGAAGCCATTATTGAGTAGGTGGGTGACATGGTCAGATCTGCACTTTAAGAAGATCAATTTGCCAGCTCAGTGGACCAGGGACTGGAGGAGGGAGAGTCTTGAAGCAGACTGACTACTAATAATTAGAGAAATGCAAATTAAAGCAACTTTGAGGTTCTGTCTCACAGTTGGGCTGACAAAGATGACCGAACAGGAGCAAACGTTGAAGGGGCTGCATATGCTGTTGGTGGTGCTATTGATCAATCGATAAACACTATTATGTACCACCCACCGTGTTAAACTTTGGGGAGATACAAAGAGGCAAAAAATAGTCCCTACCCTTAAGGAGCTTACAGTCTAATAGGGGAGGGGTGCAATAAGTATGTATAAACAAGTGATATACAGGATCAGTTGGAAGTAATTGGCAGAGGGAAGGCACTCGAATTAAGAGGGGTTGGTCAAGCCACTCTGGAGAGCAATTCGGAACTATGCCTCACAAATTCACTGACTTGTGTATGACCCTTGAAACAGCCACGCCACTACTAGATCTATACTCCAGTGACATCATAGGAAAAGGATCTATATGTGCAGAAAATATTTAGAGTAGCTCCTTTCAGAGTAGCTGGAAATTAGAAAGGAAGGACAGGGTGCTCCTGTTGGAGAAATTGTGGTGTATAAATGTAATGGGGTATTATTGTGCCTGAAGAAATGATGACTTGTACAATTTCAGAGCAAAATGGACTTTTTGGACCAATGCAGAAAGAGGTGAGCGGAACTAGGAAAATAATGTATATGATGACAGCATAGAGGGGGGAAAAAACTGACTTTGCAA